TTAGATAAACTCTTTGCGACGAATGAAATAAATTTCTTTGTACCATTAATTTCTTGATACAAAACTGCACCAATACCAGATAGAGAGGCATCACAACTTATAGACAAGGGAGCATTCATGTCGGAAAAGGCTAATACAGTATCGCTTATAAGCGCTTTTTTCAAATTGTCAAAGCTTTCTGATGGTTATCATTCCATAATTTATCAAGTGATTTTTCATTTCGTAAGGAGTCAACTGGGGACATTATAGCAGAAAAATTGGGGATTAAGGATCTGAAATAATTTATAAGACCACAATAACGCATGATATCTTTTCCAATTTTGGGTTGAGGGAATTCCAATACGTTTACAAGTTTACGTCTGTCAACGCTGACACCAGAAGGAGTTACACGAAATCCCAAGAGATAAATTTCCTTTTGAAAGAAACAGCACTTATCAGGATTCAACTTCAGGTTTACTTCAGTTAATCGTTTTATCAGCATATTTAAATGTTCTTTATGTTCTTCAATGGATTTACTCGCACAGACAATATCGTCAACGAAATATCGAACACAAGGTAAACCTTCTAATACGATAATCATTGTTCTCTGAAATTGTTAGCTAACATGACGAATGCCAAAAACAGTGCCTATAGGTTGATATTGAACAACACGCCAAGTAAAGCTTAATTTATGTGCATCTTTAGGATTTAACTTTAACGAGTTAAAAGCAGACTTAAGATCCAAGGTTGAATAGACAGTTGCACCCTTTAAATCCTCAAGAAGCTCACTGATAATACGTAAGGGCATACGGTCAATAGATTTTAACAAACAATTAATATGTCTGGGATCATGACAGACGCGATATCCTTTTACTTGTCCTTTAGCATCAGTCTTCTTGACTACAGTTAGCGGAGTATTCCATTCTGTATTAGCAGGGGCAATTTTAGTAATACCATTATCGAGCCATTCCTTTACTTGGTCATCTACAATGCTTTCCAATTTAAGAGGTACTGGATAAGGCTTTCTATACGCGGTTACATTAGGTGGAGTATTTAAGGATACAACACTTTCAGGTATAGTGCAGAATGAACCTTTAGAGATTGCTTGATTGGCTTTAATAGCAGGTTGAATGTAATCTAACGCTTCTTTGTATTCATTAGGAGGACAGGCTGGACAATTTTCCTTTAATTTGTTTTCAGCTTCAATTGATTCAAGAAGTTCACTCGTATTGTTATAACGCTTGTCATCTTCAATAACGGCTTCTTGGGAATCATGATCATCGTACGAAGTAGGAAGACCATAAATTCCAATTCCAAATAATGACATACAATCAGTACCAATACTAAATTGATAACTGTTATTTTCAGGAGCAAGATTCATAACCTCAAAGACACGTTTTATAGTTTTATTATTACAACTAACGCTTAATTCACAAGTACCAATCCTTTTTACAAAAGTATTCTTATCCGCAGACCGAATGAAGTAATTACAAAAATTATGCTTATTTAATTGGTCCTTACTAACATGATTTATAAACTTTATTTTAATATTATTTTTTCTACAGAACTCATAGTCCACCGAACTAAAATTTGGGCCGCATCCAAATAAGGAGAACGTTCTAATAGAATTATCAGTAGTAATAGTATCAGTATCAATGTTTTTAAAATCTCTTGTTACATCTTTTATATTTGCAGACTTACAATCAAGAGCTAAACGCGCCATTGACACATTATGGTCCTTATTCTCATCTTCATCAACAGACGAGGAAGGCTCACCACCTCTCATTGCCATTCTTGACACCTTATTCCTTTGAGCTTGCTTAAACTCTTCACAGCGGTGACCGTAGAACCAGGTCTTACCACAAAAGGTACAAGGTTTCTTACCAGAAGAGGACGAGGTAAAGGGTCTCTTAGATCCAGAAGAATCCTTATTAGAGCCGAAGTGGCTGGAACTGTGGGTCTTGTTGTAACGCTCATTGTCCTTATTGCCATACGAAGACGAGGAGGAACCAACCACAGAGTAGCTACCAGAGGAGCCGGAAGAAAGGTAATCGGAGTCCGAGGCAACAACCAATTGGATCATGTCCTCCAGTTTACAAGGTAACTTCGTACCATACTGAGAGGAAATAGCACCAGACGTTTTCTCCCTCACTTGCTCTCTCAAAGAACAGTAGAACATCAGTACCAGTTGGACACCATCCTTCATATCCGCTTGTCGACGCAATTTTTGAAAACGAGCACCATACGCACGACAAGATTTATTTGGGGCTTGACGTAAACGATTGACATTAATCATCAATAAGAACTTTCGGTAAGGGGTATCAAAATGATCAAGGACGATTGTTTCAGCTTGCTTCCAGGTGAGATCCTTGTTGTCCAGATTTTTGAGAAACCAGCTACGATCATCCTTGTTAAGACTCATAGGTAGGAGTCGTTCCCAGTGAGCATTTAAGTCCAAAGCATGGTCCTTGAGAACAGTACGAAACTGGTCACAGAAGTCGTACACAGAGTCAAAAGACTCAGAGTTGGGTCTTTCCAATGGAGTGGAAGTCAGTTGAAGGAAAGGGAGATCCTTAGGAACACGAGAGGCATTCTTGTCATCTTGAACCTTGGTTGGAGACTTCATCTTTCGATATGCTGTCAAAGCATCCCTGGCATCAGTGTATGAATTCAAGACCGAAAGATAATCCTGGTAGGAAGCTTTGGTGGCAGGACTAGCTTCATCCAAAAGTTGGTTTGAAAGGTAAGCAGCATATGCTTGATAGCATTTTTCTTCCAATTTAACCAAGTTGTCATTAGCAGACTTCAAGATGGCCTTAGAGTCCAGAGCAACAGGAGCAGGTGCAGCAGGAGCAGTATCCTGTTGGGGAGTACTATCAGTGTCTTAGGGCCCTCGCAAGCACATCAAACTATTTTTTAAAGATCCCGATTAAGGACATTAATTTTTTTATTTTTTTTGTGAAAGGTTACAGTTTTTCCAAATAGAATCTTTTAAAATTTTAATAATATATATGGACGATTAATAACAACATTGAATATTTTCAGTGCTAAAAAATCCGAATTGTCCAAACGAAGAATTAAAATCTGCAGGCCCCAAAAACCTTCTATCGGATTATTTAATGTCCAAATCCGAATACTGAAATCACGAATGTTGTTTTACTTTTCAACAAGAGCCTTTTATTTTTATCGATTTACTTTTTTTTTACCATCTCCATTTTATTTTACAGATATGAGTTTCCAAAATTATTCAAGTGCTGACTTCATCAATGGCCAACGCCCAAACCCTCCTGTGGTAAGAGGCCGACCCAGAGTAAACCCTTCGTCTGCTGCACAGATTCCCACTGACGTACCTGTTCCATCCTCTCAACCTGTACCTACCCCTTCTTCTGTACCGGCACCATCTTCCGAACATGTTCCTTCTGCTGGTCCTGTTCCTGCTACCGAGCAAGCTCCTCCTCCTGCTGCTGAGCCAGTTTCTGCTGCCGATTCCGTACCAGAGCCTAACACCAACCTTAACTGGGATTCACAAAACTGGGATTTACGAAGCACAAATGTATTGATTGAAATGTGTTCTGCGTATCTTGTTGAAGCGGGTGTGACTAGCTCAAATGAGGCAAAGGCAGCTTTAATCCCAAAGACAGAAAAAGCCTTCAATGACAACGCAGCCGTCAATGGCCAAAGAGACATCTGTGCCATGACCACTAAATGGCATGCTCTTCATGCTAAGTATCGAAGCAGACGAGACGATGCTAATTCTACTGGTAGTGCACCTCTTCAACACTGGGAGTTTCATGATTTGATGGAGCAGGCAACAATACAAATGCCAACTACAAACCCGCCTGTTACGTACAGCTCCCATTCCAGAGAAACTGTGGACAACCGTGGTGATTATGCCACCAGAAGACGTGGTCATTCAGAAGTCGATAATAATAATGAAGAGGATGAGGATGATGATGTCGTTCCTCAGGTAAATGCAAGACGTCCACTTAATGTAAGTGTGTCAATGTGGTTTATGGCAAACTATATGGAGCAAATGGAAGCTCAAAGCCGGGCTGAGAGAGCAGCTGATCGTGCTCGTATGATCGAAGAAAGGAATACCGATCGTGCACGTATGGCTGCTGAACGAGAGGCAGATATTGTTCGTATGGCTGAAGAAGATACATACCGACGAAATCAACTGGATCATAACAACGATTACAGACGACAAAATACTGAGTTGTTAAGAGAGGCTACTTTGTCCAAGTCCCGAATGGTAGATTTGTTTGCTGCTTCAATTGCTCAAAACAATAATGCCAGTCGTGCTCCCACCCCTACTACTACCACCAGCAACAACAATCCCCCTTCTCCCAATCCGTCTACAGATAATATGATTTAAATAAAATTGAATAAAACAAAACGTTTTCTATACTTATCTATTTCTATTTCTAAGTCTAGTTCTTCTTCTACTTCTACTTCTAGTTGCTCTTCTCCCCCCTCTAGCCGCCCCACGTCTACTTTTACATCTCATCAATTCCTCAAAAATAGTAATCCTTCTGCTACTACCGCCTACATCAGGTGCATCTTCATCTTCAGGAACAGCTGCACTATGATCTTGAAGGTGAACAGTTTCGGTAAACCCGGTATCAACAAGGTCGATACACATATTTTGTAAAATACAACATTCGGTAATCACCTCGTTGATCTTCAACTGGTCCAACATGTAAATGTACTTGCCAGTAAATCTCCAACGAGCCACCAACACACCAAAGGCTCTATCGAACGCCATTCTTGTAGATGAATGTACACAATTGAATGTACGCTTGCGACTGTCTAGCACGCATTGACTCTCAGGAAATGGTGTGATCAAGTTGGGTCCCAAAGGATAGGCAGAGTCACCGATCATGAACGTGTTGTCAGGAAAGTGAATGTCTGGGTGGCGAAGAATTTCACTCGCTATATCACTTGATCGGAAAGCAGCAGCATCATGCGTTCTTCCTGGAGTAAATATTGTTGTGTTAGCTTTTATATTGTTTCATCGCAGATCATTTTAGTACAATACCTGAGTCACCCACTTTGATATACGTGAATCGTAATGCAGAGTTACATACGGCAGTAAGCTTCACGGAATAGTTGTTCTTTCTATCCCTGAACATAGCACCCACGATTGGAGGGGAAGGTTGGTGAATGATAAAGTTCTTACCATCCACAGCACCAATCACACCATTCAATCTATCCTCAGTACTACTCCCGAAACCGACAGCGATCGCATTGGCTCTGATAGGGTCTGATGGTCATGTCAATAAATGACCAAGTTGATCCTCAATTGCTTTGAGTGTTCTTGTGGTGAAGTTGTTATAACTAACTGATGAAACACCCTAAAGCATATACGCTTGACGATATCCGATATGGCAATTACCCAACCGAAATAAAGCCGTTGCGACTTGGATATAAATCGGAATAGTATTGGGTGCGACAAGATTGAATTTGTCAGGAATGAGGGAGGAAGGAGACAGGCAGGACAGGACAGAGAATGAATAGCTTCTTGAAGCAGGTTATTTATTTAAGAATAAAAGGGAGGAAAGAAAAGAGAAGATGATTTTGAAATATATCTGATAAAGAAAACTGGGAGAAGTGAAATTTATCAGCTATATTTATAGAGAAAGAAAAACAAGAAATTAAATAAAAGAATAAGCAATGAGAAAAGTTAGTCATAGCTTATGTAGATCATGACAAAGGATTTAAAGAGCTGACAGATCAATGATGAATATTGATTCTGAAAGCTGGTTACTCATATTGCATATTTGGGGCATAACATGTAACAGGATCATGACAGAATTCTTCGTGTGCCAAAAGCTCGTTCACCAAATGCTCCAAAGCACGCTTACCCATACGGTAGTTGGCGCGATAACTACTGACCTGGTTTTCGTCATTGTCATTGAGGAATGGGTGTTCCAATCTCCAAAAGTGTTATCGACGCGATTCACGTCTACCATCAACACTAATTACTGTTCTTGTTCTTTCTACATGTTTGCCCATCATGAAAATGGGGAGATAGTTAATAGAAACTCCATATTCATTGCGGTAGTTGCTGGCAATAAAATTATATTGGACACGTTCTGCTTGGTAAAGTTCTCCACTGGAATGAAGAGTCGTCATAATTCTACGAGGCGTTGTCCAGTAGAATTAAGAATTTCCAATCTATATTCTTCGAGAGATTCAGATTCTTCTTTGACAGATTCTTCGTTGATTCGAACTATAAGGAGCTACAACGGAGACACGATAAACGCAATTTGTTGTGGGCTCATCATTCTTAAACTGTAATTTTGTCTTTAAAAAATAAAGGAACAGATATTTTAGTAATCTGCAAAAACTTTATTATTAATCATTCAAATTGGGTCATTTAAAAAGCAACGTCATGGATTTCAAAAAAGATTTCTTTAGGAAGTCTGAAGTAACCTTTCACAAAAAAAAAAAAAAAAAAGAAAGAAAAACAACTTAATGTCCTTAATCGGGATCTTTGAAAAATAGTTTGATGTGCTTGCGAGGGCCCTAAATCATACAAATCTGAGAATTCTGGTCCGTTATCCGTCAAGATCCAATAGGTTTGCGTACTCTGGTCCGTTATCCCTCAAAATCCGTCGATTTCAGGGTACTCCGGTCCGTTATCCCTGAAAATCCGTTGACTTTAGGGTACTCCGGTCCGTTATCCCTGGATATCCGTTAACTTTAGGGTACTCCGGTCCGTTATCCCTACAGATCCGATACTTAAGGGTTCCCTGATTACATGAAACTTGTACTAAAATCGCACTATTTAACATATAAAATCGCATATAAAATCATTCCATCGATCCTTGATCGACATGTACATAATATCATAACACTCATAAAAAATAATAGCATAAAAAATATCCTGAGTTATACATTTACAACTCAGGGTTACTAGATATTCCAATAGAAGATCCCATTTCGAATAATAGATTGGCTACACTGATAAGGCTCATCAGTCATTAGTAAATACAGCCAATAATACCAAGTGAACACAAACGAGCCCATAATTTTACCCACGCTTTAAATAACTATAAATACCCCCCTTTCTTTCAGAGATGAAAGAGGGATTGACTTTTAATAAGAATAAAAAAGCCTACAAGCAATATTAATCTTATTCTTCCTGTTTTTTTATCTTTTATTTTTCCGTGTCAAACAAACCGTTTTTCCACAAAACTAATGACCAAAATAGATTATAAGAAATTAGAAACGGTTCCGAAATGGTTCAAGTACTCTAAACTTCTATGGGAATTATCTGAGCTAATTTCACATATAAGATAAGTCACAAAACATATCAGAACATTCTTAAACGTGCGTTGAATTTCAAAAACGTATATACAGCGCCCTCCAAAGTATCGTAACCGTTTAAGGTTTTCCTATTTTGTAAAATGACATCACATACTGATTCATAGGGAGACTTTTCAAACAATTTTATTTTTCTGTTTTTTGTTATTATTAAGTTAGGCATCCGGTTAACAGCACTTCATAGGAAATATATAAGCTATTATCACTCTTATAAAATGTTAAACCCTTTTTTTTCATAACCTTTACTGAAACATTTTTATTCAAAACATGTAACCCATTTTGAGTCGACCACATTTTTGTTTAGTCCAATGATGCTCTAATGGTATCATTCCTTTGGAGACTGGTTCTAGTATTGGTGTCTTTAACAGAGCTATACACAAAATTAATCATGATGACTCGCTCAATTAGTGGGCCTGTGAGGAGTGGATCGGGGCAAGAGCAGAACACAATAATTATTATGGTGAGGACAAAAGAAACAGACATTATATATCTATTATTATTAATACATATAAAATGGATGAGAATAGAAAATGTTTAATTCAAAGAAAAAAAATTGATAAGATCTTGAATACAGAAATATCAACAAATAAACATGACTACAGTACCAGAGGAGTGTGTGGTGACCTAGCAAGGATATAGCCATATTAGAGCTAACAAAGGTTTATCCATGCTGATACCATTTGTGATATAGGCTTTACAATAAATGTCATAGTAAAAACTAGAAGGATATTATATCACAAGTCTAACTTAGTACGTCTGAGAAATTCTAAAAATTTAGTTTAAAGCAAAGAGATTTAAGAAAACTTAACATTTATTAGAATTAATTTATGATGATAGTTTTTGACTGCTATTTATGATGGATTATTTATTGAAATAAAAGAACCAACTAAAAGAAATGCAATTATGTGAGCAAAAGTTGAACGTAAATAGGAGGGAGAAAATCTTACCACCAAGTTGGTATGGATGAATTGAATGGAAAGACAACAAAAGAGACTACAACTACAACAAAATGACACACAACTACACTTCACAGCATGCAATTAACGACTGGTAGATGTCAATGCTTAAGTTAAAACTTACCAGTGTGTCAAAATTTAAATGGAGAAAAGATAAAGTAAAGAAGAAGAAAAAAAAAGGGAAGGGAAGACGATGATGTTTTCGCATACAACGTTTTATATTTGAAGGCAGGAACATGAAGAAAAAAAAGGTGGAGTTACAAAAGAGACAAAATCACGTTATTTCAAATCAGAAGAAGACTAAATTAGTGGCTATGTAATAATCGTATACATTTTTGGTTAATCAATGATAACTTCAAGATGGCACTAGAGATATCAACACAGCAGACAGTCTTTTATATAGATACTGGTACATTTCATTTATTAATAAAAGACATTTTATGAACAGTCTGAAACTACTCCTATAGTCATTTTATAATTTTACTTTACCTTAAAACACAACAATATATACAATGCTACAAGTCCCAAAAACGGCTATACTGAAGCAGAAATTTTGCATAGCATAACGTAAATGGAGACATAGAACAACATTGAACTGAGAGTTTGTTTTTTCAAATGAAATTCCTACGATAGATTGATCGTTTTGCGTTCAAATATTTGTTACTTTGATAGACAACAAATACAAACTAATCGGCCTTCTATTTCATTAAATTTTTAGTTACTAAGAATTACGATACATAATTGAAACTGTGTATACCAAGTATTTATTCGAAATATTCGAAAGGGTAATCAGGAACTGACAAAATAGTGATAAAACGATAAACAACAACAAGCCGTCAATCGTAAACCTCTGGACAGGGAAAGAATTGAAATACATTTTGAATAAATCCAGCAAAGCGAAGATGAATAGATGCGGTATATAGGATAATTCCTCACTAAAAACCAAGAAAATAACTATATCAGCAAATACTATTTTTTGACATATTTTTAAACGGCCTACATTGTACGGATACCTAAAATACCGTTGCCTACGCCGCTATGCAAAGTATTACAACAAAATAACTTGATTTCGTCTCAAGCAGAAACCAATAAAAAAAAAAGGATATACAAGACAAAGACTAGAAAATATTTCGTAAAAGTCGAAAACAATTTATAAAAATATGGAAATAGTTTTAATCGATTAAGAATTGTCTTTTCTGACAATTTGAGTAGTTAAAAAAAAGTATATCCCATAAAGTAGATCTGATGCATGAACTTAAAAGTTAATGGTGTCAACAAACAAAACGTCCGACAGCCACAGTACTAGACTACGTTTTAACAGTTTAAGAACCATATCAATTAGCCATCTACGAAATAATACGGACCCATATCTAGAACGGACCAGATAACCATAGGATTTCGCAAAAAAATGGCCAAGTTGAAGAATAAGTCTTATTTATAGCATAAGTTTGAAGAAGTAATATTTGTAAAAGTTTTAACGGTAACTAGATCATTTCGAAATATGATATCACCACCTTAGGGTCATTGCTGAGATAATAGCCTTGAAATTGAAAAACGGCAGTTTCAAAGAACGTAAAAATACTTTTTTGGACCAATGCAATTGATGCAAAAATACCCGGAGTGGTCGTGGTACTTTCTTGGGCAATTTTGAGCAACAAATTAAAAGAGTGAACAAATAATGAAAACAAGCAGTGACATTATTAAAAACACCCACAGTTCACAAGCCATGGAAATTACGACTGTGCTAAACGTACATAAAATAGAACCATCGTCAATCCAAATTTATTTATATTTTCCAAATTTAGAATTCTGACACATTAAATACAATGGAAGAGCCGATAGAAAGAATTATTAGAAATCATTGAAGCAATCCGTCGGCGACCACGTACCCTTTAATTCATGTAGAATTCAACAGTCAAGATAATTTTACGGACTAGCAATTCTAATAACAGTCAGCTTTTAAAATAGTATAAATAGACCACATTATTTCATAGTTAAAACTTCAGTCAAATAAAGTAACAAGGACTTATAATCGTACCTATAGTAGCATTGTTTTTTTTATATACTTTATATTTCTTTCATCGAATCAGAACTAATTGATTTGTGATAGTGCTCTTCACCAAATTAGCAACCTTGTGTAAATGACTGGTAGACACTATCAGTCTTCGCTTCAACTTGTTATGAGCACCGTCAACTCTAGATGTGTTGATAGTTCCAAGGTGAAGGTGCTTATTGATCCAAGAGTTGGCAAAATGTTCTTTCAACGGCACCCATGTTGATTTACGATACGCAAACAGTGGGAGATATCTTGCGTTCAACCCGTAATTATCTCTCAGGACACTCACGTTTCGTTCTCGTTCTTCTTCATTGAAACTGTTCCTACGGCGATTCCATCTAACCATAAACTTATTCTAGTCATCATCTGTTAAAAAATATTTTTTGCATTTGGCATTCCAACGGTAGATAAAAATTGTGCTGGATTCGAAAATTGTCTCTAAAGCACCTTTTAATGAGAAATCACGGTCAATAGCAATTATGCTACGATCGAACTCCTCTAAATAGCACCAAAACAGCTTCATACGTAATGTGGAAACCGCCCACTCATAATTGGCTTGGGTTTCGTGTTTTAAAAAAACACCGCACACAAAAAATGTCTTATTGAAGCAATCCAGGCCAACAACGTGCAATAATGGCATACCAAATTTGTTGATTTTAAAAGTGCAATCCATCAAAAGCACTTGAGGAAAACGTTCAGCCATTTCCAAGGAATGAGAGTGCGCAAAAAAAAGGATTTTGATGGTATCTCCTCATTCGAGTTGTACGCGTAAATAAATCCAGAGTCGGCTTCAGAGAACTGATTCAAGCGAGCTTTCAAAGGAGAGCGACAATAAAAA